TGCGTGAGGCGCGCTCGGCCCGGGCAGCGCAGGTCCGGCCGCGGAGAGCGGGCGGGCCCGGCGCGGGAGGCGCCTCGGGCTCCCCACACCCGGCGGCTCTTCCCGGCCTCCCCGCAGGGAAGCGCAGGGGCTGCGGGGTGGTGCTGGAACCGGGGCAGCCCCCGCACCGCCGGCCTGCGGGCGGGCGCCGCTCGTTTCGGGTGCCCGCGCCCCCTTCCTGCCGCAGTAGCGCTGCCGTGTCGCTCATCATCCCGGGTGTCCCCGGGTCTCTGATTATCCCGGCAATTTGCTTATTTAACAATAATGGCTTTCTCAATTGGAAAGTTGGTTTCCGATAAGAGCCGGCATGTTATTTGACATTTCAGGAGTAGGCTCTGCAGTTGTCATGATGCAGGTTTCCAAAGTGCATTCAAAAATAATCCCAACTTTCTTGTGTCCTCACTGAACTTCAGGCCTAGGGAGCAAGGACCAATTCATGGCACAAATCATGGAGAAATATTATCCACGTTTTTTTTTTCTATTTATTATAATGTATTGCAATCACACATATCCCTGTCTTTCAGCATCCAGGGTACTGCTGTCAGCAGAGGCACGTGGTGGCCCCTTACGGAGGCATGGTATTCCAAAGGTAGTTGTCCCTGGACTTGTGATGAGGCTGCACAGCCTGTGATCTCAAGGGACAAGTTTTCTGGGGTATGCCTTCTTTACCAATTTATCTTTCAGAACTATGTTCTCCATGAAACACAGTTTTGTCCCGAGCAAATCTAACATCTAAAAAAAAAAGAACTGTATGAAGCAGAAAGCCCCAGAAGAAGTGAGCAGTTTCCTGCAGTGATAAAAAGGCCTTTGTATCACTAGCCAAATCCCGTGAGATCTTGTATGTCACTAAACTGGCTGAGCACATCAGCTGACTGAAATGAGATAGACAGCTGATCTCTTGGAAATCCAGAAATATTTATTGCTCTTTCATGTTAATGTTATGCTATATTTCTATGCTGGTCTTTCAGATAGTCTCCTATTCAAAAAGGAAAATCACACAGTATTCCAAGGACAAAGAAAGAGAACCAGATATATTTATATCATAATTATTTCTGTGGATTTAATAGCAAATGTGTTAATAATGTCAAAAGCTTGAAATCTATATTCAGCGTTCACAAGCTAGTATGTTCACATGTGCTCAAGAACTAGGGACAATATCTTCAAAATGCTGATGTTTGTTGAAATATCTAGTAACCCATGTAATTCCTAGCGTCTAAATCCAGTCTGAAGTAAGTAAGTAGAAAGATAGCCAAGTTTATACGTGGGTATTCTGTGTCCTCCTCAGCTGCTCGTGGAGCAGGACCTGGTTGCTTAGATATCTGGGGTTTGCACATAGTAACTGAGCCTGTCAGTTACTGCAGAATATTTCCCAAGTGAAGGGCAATGATTGCCCAGTATGGCTGATCATAGGTAGTTTCTTATGGTACCTAGTTTCATGTACACTAGATGGCTGCTTGTGTGGCTGTTCCAACTTTTTTCTTTCCTTTTCTTTTTCATCTATTTTTAGGGAAGTTTCCCAGAATCTTCATTCTATATAGATATAAATATATAGGATATAAATGTGCTAATGCCATCCTGGGAGCTGCAGACCACTTTTCAAGTATTATGAGGATTCATATATACCTGGAATGACAGTGTCACTCTATGTTGGACACGTGGATGTGGAGAGCCTGTAGGGTTTTATGTGTAAAGTCAGTAATGGGATTAGTAGTAGTTGCTCAGATTTCTGTGTCTGAACTGCAAGAACATATTTTTTACTGCAGTAAAGCACAGAATACTATTTTAAGGAAGGGAGAGCTATTGCTGAATTGCTTAACAAGAGGCAAAATATCCTGCTTGTTTTGCAAAAGGGAGTAAAAACACATGTTTCGGGTTAGATTTCATGAAGCTGTAGAGGAGATAATGCAGTGATCAGCTGAGTCCTGACAAAAGGGGGAATAAAACTAAGTGTTGGTCCAGAGGCTTGAAGAGAGACTTGACACTGCAATAAAATTTATGGTTATTTCCATGAATATGGTCTAGATGGTTTTAAGCTACCACAAAAAGAGCTATTAAACCTGCAAACTGGCCTAGTAAATTAGGTTTCTGGTAATAAAATGAGACCAAAGGAATCATGTAATCACTGAGTAATCACTGAGTTCTAGAAAGCTACTGTGGGACAGTTTAAAATTACCTGTGGAGCTGGAGCTGGTAGTTCAATAGGAACCTAGACTATGAATAAAATGTTCCAATAATTATGAAGTAGTATTCTTTAGTTTTAATTTGGGGTATATAGTATGCTACCTTAAAAGCATTTTGTTGGAATGCAGAGTATTTACATTTCTAAGACAGTGACTGCAAAAAGTTTAATAAGATATAATCTGTTTTGAGGGTTATTTTGTTTCTTTTCTTTTTCTTTAGACATGGCTTAATTTTAAGACACCGAGTGCCTACTTTTGATCCTTTTTCTATTGAGTCCTCCTCTCAAACACCTTGAGGTAGTGAGTTAGCTGCAGTACATTCCCTTTTTTAAAGTACTGCTTACTCAATATGGCAACTTCTCTATTTCTTTACTCATGACATAATTCATTGCAATCTTTTGAATAACTGTCAGTTGATGGGTTACTGAATATTATTTCTGGGGTCATTTTGTAAAGGAGTGTAGTTTATATGCATTGCATTGCCTTCCCCTTTTGTCTATCAGTTTCTCCTAACAACTGTACAGCACACGAACCAATTTCAAGCAGTTTCAGAATTTTCAGAGTCTGCAAAACTTGATGTCTTTGAAATATCTAAGTTGCATGAAATGTGATAATAGAAGAAAGATCAAAACTGGTGTTGCCTGTTCAGCGAAGGCTAAAAATGCTTTATTCATTGTGAAAGACAGAAATGAGCAGGATAGTCCTGGTATGTATTCTGGCTGGCCAGTCAGTATTTGCATGGCTCCCAGTAAATTACAGCATGAGCACCACTTTCCAGCCAGACAGGTACTGGGATGTAGGAGGGGCTAAGAGGTAAGGGCATGGTGATGTAGATGTATTAAAACAGGCCTTGTTCTGCTTTGTACTGAGCAACTTGCTTTTTTAAAGTGCGTCTGTGAAATACTTGAATTTTTTTTTTTCCGTTTTCTCTTTCAAGTCTCTTTCAAGAAATGAAAGTACAAAGGATAGGTCAAAAATTGTTTTTTGCTTTTATGAGTTATAATAATACATTACTTATGGTAGGAGGGATAACAGTAATTCTCATGCTTGAGAAGACGATTGAACTCTCCACAGCCACTTACCGTGCAGGAAAAAATGCATTACAAGTCTTTCACCACAGTTGTCTGTATTAAGTTATGAATAATGGTAAAGGCACATTTATGAAAGTTTGGGTTTTTGCTCAGGACAGCTTGCTGCTTTTCCTATGTGTCACAGACCTTCATATATTTTCAGTTAAGGAATACTTTTATGTGTTTCCCTCCTTCTTTATAAATTAGACCAGGAAAACTGGTGCCAAAATCCTTTGTCCTGTACAGTGTTGTTTATGTCAAGGTGATCATTGGGTTAAATAACAGTGAAGTTGCCTTCACATATTGAGGGGAATATCTTATCTTGAACATCTATCCTGTACACCTAACAAGAGTCGTTCTGAAATGAAAAGCAAATAGTCAAAAGCTGTTAATTTTTACTTTTCAGATTTTAATATTGGTGTTTTCCATTATAAGAAAGAGATTCTGGGACTATGGTCGTGTTGCTCTTGTGTCAGAAACTGAAAGGTAAGAAGATATGCAATCAAACTTACTTGTTGAAACTCTTTTGGAAATAAGTGTAGTGAATAGAACTTAAACTTGAATTTTGTATTAATTAAGTATGATATTAATTGCATGCATATATTAGTTCAAAATGTCCTCTTGTGAAATATATTTCTGCTCTCAGACTTCCTCTTTGCAGTGTCAAAAATAAAGCTGTGTGTTTGTAGTCACCATTATGAATTTAATTCTACAGTTGTGGCTAAGGAAGTAGAAACAGGAAAGAAAAAGGAAAAGGCTGTTAGTCAGTTAGCATTTCACTTGCCTATGCTCTCATGCTCACAGTGTGTTTCTGTGGCAGAAGGAGGATAGTAACCGTTAATTATCTGGGCTCAAGACTAGTACCTCCCCAGAACTGCCCATATCATTTTATTTTTTTTTCTTGAATGGCTTAAAAATATATTTAAAAAAAAAACTCTTAAGTTCTCGAACTTATCTTTCTAGGCTTCCAAAGGTATGTTGCATCCTCTAATGTTACTGCCGTTTAATATCCCAATGAAGCTTGTGCTTTATTTTACAAGCTCATTTCTTAGTTTTCAACACAAGATACAGCATGAGTTTTTATAATTAAGCATATGCTACAATATGAAAACTGCAGCCTTCATAAGCAAAAATGTGTTTTTATAGTCCTTTCTGTAGTTATTTCAGAAATGTTACGGTTGTATGTTGTATGTATGTATTACTAAAGATACTTAAAATCATCTTCTCCTGTATTTTAGTGAATCAAGGTACAGCCGGTTGTCGACCTCCTCATCAGTGCCTGAAGAGCTAGAATATGACAGTGTAGGTATTACACTGTATTTTTATGTAAAGTATGTTGTTAGAAGCTGACGTAGTTTGCTGCTTCACCTAGCCCAAGAAACCAGTCCTTGCATATAGATGGTCTTTCAGTTTAAAACTTAGTGTAATTGTGTACTATGTTTTCATCAAAATCAGCATTTTATGTAATCTCTCCTGGTTGCCTAACACACTAGTGCTTGTCATAAATGAATATCTTGTCTCTCTGTTGTCTTTAAGTACTTTTTCTGTTTTTCAAGTAGTGAGAAGATTATACAGTAATGTTTGGGAATGAGGGAAGAAGAGGAAGAATAGCAAGTGATTTATACTTTAACATTTTGAACTAAGTTATTATGTTCACATAGTAAATAATACCCTGCTGGTCTTTATAGTACATTTTCCTCATGAAGTTGAAGAAGCTAGGCATGAGGGTGAGACAAGTGCTAGTGACAGCTAGTCTTGATATTAAGACTGGCTAGAAATGGAAGATACATTTTTGGCCAAGCTTTTAACTGGATCCATACATGGTCTTTTTGAACTCTTTGAATTCATACTGTCTCTGTCATTCTGTGTTGCAGCTTCAGAGCGAAACTGTGAGAGAGTTGTTCAAGGTGGCACCCTGTATTTTATTGTTTCATATATTCCTGAATTAACATCTAGCATAGTTGTATGAGCATCAAAAGCATCAAAAGTGTTTGATCAGGAGTGTTATGGTATTTGGGTGGGTTTTTTTCTTTCTTTTTTTTTTTTTAGTCCTAAAGCAACTTTATAATTACGTCTGTGGAATTAAAATGCATCTCTTTAGTTAGATATTATTCACTTACAACACCTTTCATGAGAGTTTTTTTTTTTTCGACCCATACAACTAAGAAAGTGAATGGAAACACTTCTCTTAACTGCACAATTTAAAGACTGATATTTCTTGTACTTCAGCTCCTAACACTTCCTTCTTTATCTGTAGGGATTTTGTTCTTGGATGACAGCTGCCTTTCGGATGCAGTAAGTACATGAAACAGAGGTAGTAAGCAGTGGCTTGCTTTTTTTTTGTTTAAAAAAAAGTCTTTGCACTCACTACACTCTTGCTAACCTTGCTGTTGGCAACCCAGGAATTTACTGACACTAGGAAGAGTGTTAGGATGAGAATGAATCTGTGGCATTTACACGGATTTGGAGCTAATAACTTGGCTCTAGGCTTATATCCTTCAAAGAGGACCATGCGGGTGTTCCTGTATTTGAAGCCAGTGGTGCTGCAGGCAGAAACCAGGGTATCCCTGCAAGGATTTCTGTGGAGAACTGGTGGTTTAGTTGGGGATGGAATTTGCTAACTGGGAAAAATCTGTCCCCATCCTTTTCCAGAAACTCAGCATTAGACATATGATGTTGATTCTTTAAAAATGATGATTTACTAATCAATAGAGATAAAAATCAACTTCTACCTGTGTACATTAAAACAAAAACGGAGGAGGTGAGGATTTAGCTATGTTAAGTTTCTTCTTTTTCTGTTGATTCATATTTTAGTGCTCTGTCCTGGTGACAATAGATAGATGGTGGTAGCTGTTTCCAGAATCTGTTAGTATCTTCAGTTAAATTGGAATCATAAGAAAAAGGTGATCATATTATTTTCCTCATAGGGACCTTTTATGGAGATGAGCGAATACTGCTACAATTTAAGAGCCAGATTGTGACTGTCATAAAGCAGGAGGTCATGGCAGACGACTTCAGCTTCTAGAGTTATGAAAGGAATTTGTATTTATGTTTGTTTTTCAGATCTCTCGTGTGTTTCTTAAATTCTCTCTTATTATTTTTTTTTTGTATTTTGATATCACACAAGAAAATATATTTCTGGAAGTGAAAAATGGTCAGTTTATTTTCAAAAACACATGACAATGTTGAAGATTAACAGAGATTGTTGGAGAAGTCATTGTGTAAACTGAGAAATTTATGTATTTAAAAGAATACCACTATTCCCAAGCTGCACAGGCTGACCGTGTGCTTTTCCATGGTGCAGTGATGACGAGATTCATGACAGATGTGGTGAAGATGCCATACATTACCTTGCCTTCCAGCGTCACATCATTTGCTTGTTGATTGCTGTCAGCATCTTGTCTGTGTGTATCATACTGCCTGTCAACCTGTCAGGTGATCTACTTGGTAAGAATATTTTACATACTTCGAAGAATTGCCTATTCCTTAATATCGCAAAAGTTTGAGGGTCTCTTTTTTATGGCAAACTTGGAAAGTTTTTTTTTGTGCAGTATATGTAATTTAGCGTGACTGCTTGTGTGACAGGTCTTTAAGCGTACGGCAAAAACTGTTGCCAGAAATGAGATAAGCAGCACATGTATAGTCATTAAAACAGCAAAAAAAAGGAAGGCTCACAGCAGGGTTAACTTTATCTACGCCCTCTTGGCTGGTGTTTGCCAAAGCATTCTTTTATAATGGTTATTGAATTGCAAAGGTCAGGTGTGGAAACTTTGTTTTCACAGTTTAGGATTTCTTTTTCCTGATGTCTGAATCTCTTTTGCTCTGATTTAAGCCTGTTACTTTTTGACCTCTTGTATTGGAGAACAGATGGTTCTCTCCTTTGCAATCACAGAATGTTTGAGTTTGGAAGGGGCTTCTAGAGATTATTTAGGCCAAGCCGCTGATCGGATCGTCAGAGCAAGTAGTTTAAGTAAACAGCTGAGATAAGAAACAAGTGAAGATGGAATAAAAATGTGAAGGAAATAGGTTAGATTCCTAGACAGTATTGCTTATACCTGTGAAGAAAGATAGAAAGGAGGAAGTAATAAACTGCAGAGATCTGATATTATTTATTTATTTTGTTTAATAATCTGTTATTTCCCTTATATTTCTCTCGATGGGTTGAATGTTGTATATTTTTAGGGCAGCAGGGGAGAATTCCAACTTTAAATGCAGTTCTATGTAGACCAGTGTTACTTTTGATTCTGAATCTCTTTAAAGGTGAAAATGATCTGCTTTAACGAGAAACTTACCAGCCTTCAAAAAAATCTTTGTCATGGATTGCATGTGAATCTTGCACCAATTAATTATGCTGCAACTTTTTGTTGTTCTCAGATAAAGATCCCTATAGTTTTGGAAGAACAACTATTGTAAATTTGCAAACCGGGTAAGTAAATCTTGAAGAGTATTTTCTGTACGTTTGTCTGATTCCTGCCATAGCCTCTGAACACATGATTGATACTTGCGGCATGCCTTGTAGGATAGGAATTACTTATTCATGCTTCATTTACTGAAACTGGGATACGTTCTGCTTCGGGCTATGCAGTTGCAATGCTGATAAGAAATCTAGAAACCTGGCTTCTGCTCTCTCTGCTCTTACAGTTTTACTCCACATGTTTCTCTTGGCTAATAACTGCTCATGTCAAGATTATTTTCAGATTTTTTCATGTTAAAATCATACTTCAGAAAGCAAAATAAAGCAGTTTTACTAGAACGTGTAGCTCAGATGACTTAAATTCTCTTTCATCAGATTTGTGTGTGTACATCTCTCCCATCTAAGACACTTGAAGTCTATAACATAGTTAAAGAAGAAAAGCACTCATAGATGCTCTTAAGTTTAGTTAAAGTTTTTGTCACTTTCTTTCTCTTAACCTTACAGTGATTCTGTAGTTGGAGGGTTTTTGTTTTTTGTTTTAGTCTGGAAGACAGTCCTTTATTTTAGATTAATTGTGGTTATTAATGCTCTTTACAAACTGTAAAATTGTTCACAGAACAGATTTTTTCTGAGCTTTGCAAAAGGAGCTACTAGAGAATCAGACTTTCCTCCCTGTGTTCAGGCTGTGTTCAACTTGGGTAAAGTTTGTGTTCAAGGAGAGTTCTGCTCATCACAGAAACTAGTAAGACCAATAAAAAAAAGTTTGGCTGGTTGATAATGTAGGGTGTGCTACTGATCATATAAATAAGAAGGTGCAAGCCAGTTGCTGCCTGGAAGTTGTCTGTGTCGTAGAATAGCTGTGGCCTTTGAAGGGCTGCTACCTGTTTATGGTAAAATTTTACGGGTAACCTAATGACTGTTCAAAGCATCCTCATGACAACCATTTACCACTTAATACCTTCTTTTTTATCCATTTATGTTCAAAGTGATGTTCTTGCCTGCTTAACATTTTGATAACTGCTTGCATCAGTTAGGTGACTAATTCTACCTATTTCTATTCATGTTTCTCATATTCAGTAACAATCTTCTTTGGCTGCACACCGTTTTTGCCGTTGTTTACCTGATTCTGACTGTTGTCTTCATGAGACACCACATGAAGTATGTCACGTACAAGGAGGAAGATATAGTAAGTTTCTGTATTTGGTGAAAAAGCATTTAGCTTGTTTCAAAGTGGATAATAAGAAAAAAAGCATATGTTAAGATGCCTCTTTCTTGCTAAAATCTGGCGTTAGATATGGGAATGAAGGAATTCACTGAAAGCAAATTGCGCTGAGTGAATTCTGAGGAAAGGAGTTGGAGAAATAGAGTGGAATTTATGAAGCTGGGCTGCCCTATTGCTAATGTAGAGGATAAGTGAGGTACTTTGTTACATTGGTGCAGTTCCCATTAAAATCAGAATTTCTCCTCCTCCTCTCCCTGTATCCCTCAACACAGCTGCTTGTGCTGTGTTACTGTCTTCCTCATATTCTTGTTTCTTTGGTAGTGGTGTGGTTTCTCAGAATTGGAGTTTTTTTTCTTTTTTTTTCCCTGTTGCAGGTTAAGTGCACGTTATTTGTAACTGGTCTTCCTAAAAATGCAAAAGAAGAGGTCATACAAGGCCATTTCACGTAAGTTCCATGGTTGATTAGTATCCTTAAGAACTGGAGAATTAAAACTGCCTGGAGTGGAAGTGTCTGGCTGTTTCAAATTCATACTATAGTGTGGGACCTACAGAATAGAGACCAAATGAAAATAATTTATTTCAGTAAAGCTAGTTAGCTGATATTAAAGTCAGAATCTAAGAAAGTGACTACAGATCCACACTTTTCATTCCTGGCACCAAATGGCCTTTAGTTGTGAATAATCCTGCACGGCTCATACGAAAATATTTTCAGCAAGTGTCTATATGGAGGTGTCTCTGCTTCCATGACACTTCATTCAGAAATAAACTATGTGACTGTAATGTGAGCGGGTTGCCACTGTAACTTCTGTTCTCATTGTTCCTGTTTACTGCTTCTTTTTTAGGTCTGCTTACCCTACTTGCAATGTGCTAGAGGTGCAGCTATGTTATGATGTAGCCAGGCTAATCTATCTATTCAAAAAAAGGTACCTTTGTTCATATTCTAAATCTAACCTACATTTCTTGTAGGTAGCATACTCTGTATGTGACATAAGATAGGCTTTGACTGACTTGGTTTTATCGGGCAGTGCAAAGCAGAAAACCCAGCGTCTGAATTGGTAACTCTGGGACTCTACCTCTTTGGCCAGAGGCAGTAATCACAGGTGGAAAAAGGTTGTGTTCTGGGTACACTAGAATAACTTCTTTCTTTCTTCTGGAATCTGGCTACAATTCTAGGCTGCCTAATGTTATTACAGACGTGAAAAGGAAATTGCATTATGTAGCCAAAATAAGGCATGTTGGTATCTTTGGGAACAGATTTATTTTACTAGTTCTTGCCATAACTTTTTGTCCAGGGGATTGCACTCTTCTTAAGCTTGTTTACATGCTGTTCTCATGGAAAGTGTTATGGATTTTTTTTTCCTAGAAAACAGGCAGAAAAAAGCCTGAGTTACTATAAACATCTGTATCAGAAGTATGGCAAGCGAGTCCAAATCAGCACTAAGCCATTTGGTCAGTTCTGCTGTTGTGAAGTAAGAGGCTGTGAAAGGGTAAGCACTTGTGTTCATTTTGTATTATGGCTAGGTAGATCAGTGTAGTAGTAGAGAAGAAAAGTTTTTGTGTGACATCTTTTTGAGCTTCAGCATATTCTCTATTCATTTATTACAAGTAGTTCATCTTTCATGTGCTTGTATGGTACAGAAAAGGAACTCCCCTAAGCTTTTGAAATGTGATCTTAATGTGAAAGCTGAAATACAAGGAAAAACTTCCTTTTTGTTTGCCTTCATCTTATAATGTGATTTGTAATATGTGGAAGTAGTAGGAGGAAGAGGGAGTGTGATTTGTGTAGGCTCTATTTTAATTAAGATTCCAGCCATCTGTTGCTTGGATGTAACAGTCATCAATTTCCCAACAGGAAGATGCTATAGAATATTATACCAAAGTTACAAATAAACTGACAGAAGAATGCACAGGAGAGGAACTGACTGTTTATAATAATCCACTGGGCATGGCTTTTGTAACCTTCCAGGAGAAATCCATGGCGACATAGTAAGTTTTGTATGGTGTCTTGTTTGCTCTGGCTGTATTGGTACAGCTGTTCTTGTTTGTGTTACTTTTTTGCTTATGTTGACTCTTCTTCCTCTCTTCTTCTTCACTGTCCCGTGAATTTGGTCTATTCTGCTTACCAGTCAGCTTCCCCCAAAGTCTGCGTTTAGTGCTCATGCCTTGGACAAGGACACTGGGCTAAGGAGTGACCCTGGAGAGTTCCTGGGTTAAGGATCCAACCCATCAGTCTAAGTCAATAGAAGACCAGTGTAATTGGTTCACGAATCCAAGTTACTGGTCCCTCCATTTTCTAGTATGTAAATTGTCTAATTGACACATTTTTATGGTGGGTGCAAATTACAGTGCTGGGTAGTAATCTGAAAACATGAGTCAACAACTGACCTAACTGTAGGTTACTGTGAATTACTCTAAGATGGTCTCTGCATGTTACACATTGGCAACTTGGCAGAAGGGAAGCTTTTATTGTCCATTTTTTTGTGTCTTTGGGAAATAGTAGCAAGTGTTCTGCAGGATTCAATATATGCGCATACATGCATATATCTGTTAATTATTTTTTATATCATACATTTGTGCGCATGTATAAATCAGTGCATTTATGTGTATATATAAAAAGCATCATGGAGAACAAGCAAGTTATTTGAAGAGTAAGATATGATAAATAGGTTCAAAGTAAAATTTGCATGATAAGTTGGACTGCTTCAAAAGTTACACCATATATTCTGTTTTTTTGGCTGTAGTTACTACTTTGCAAAATGGTTAAGTGATTCCATCTGTTTCAGTGTGCTTTCTGCTTGCAGATTATCTATATGACCCTCAAAATTTGCCTCTTCACCGTCAGACGCATTTACTCCATTTTATACACCTGTCTTACCTGTTACTCAACTGTTTGCAGTCAAAATGTGTATTGTTGTCTCTGTGGGCAGTTTCTGGGCATCCCTTAATCTGCTTCCCTTTACCTTCTCTGTGTTAATAACATTTCTGTTATAAAAATAACACACTTCATAAATTGGCAATATTGTCTTGACCTTCAAGACATGTTAGAGAGTCAGCCTTTGGCATCAAGGAAGTCTGAGACACAGGGGTTTTTTGAAGGAATTTAAGTTGCTGGAGAATATTTTGCTTGCTGCTCTGTAATTGAGTAACAATAATGGGGTAAAATCTGTCCCTTTTCTAATTTTGCTGTGTGTTTAGAAAATCAGGAGCATGAAATGACCTTTTAAGATGTGCAACTCAAAGTTTCTGGAGTTTCTTTCCTAGCAGTTAGATTCCCTTATGCATACAGTTTTGATGGGATGTTCTTTCTTTGGGTACATCTTCTGAATTGTGTTGCCTGCATCTTCCGAGCTGAGTTATCAAGAAAACTGAAAAGATTCATGTTTGTTTAGTTTGGAACTGATGCAGTGGACTCTGTCCTCTGGGGGGAAAAAATGTATGTTTTAAAAAGAATTGATCAATTTGTAATTAACTTTATTAAATTCTTGCTGCTGCAAGATGCTGACAGTTTGACATCACTACTTGAATTCTGGTAAGGGGAAAAATTCTTTCTTTTTCTACTGCTTGGTACTAGCCTGTGTAGTCCTCTGTTTTGCTTTATGTTAAGAACACTGCTGAGAAATAAGCATGTTCAGGAGTGTGAGCCCACACTGTTTCCATGCTAGTGTAGCAGAACTCTAATTGAGAGTAATTCCTTCTTAACTGTAACACACACGGTTGTACTACACCTGAACCTATGCCTAACACTTGCTGGTGTGTCCTGGGAAACCTTTGAAAACATTTATTCTGTCCATCTGTGTTTAAATTCAGTTTAAATAAACTGACTGCCAATCACCACATAGTAAAATTAGAAGAGAAAATTAAGTATTAAATTTATTTTGAGAGTGGGCAAAAGATGGTGATACTCCAATTGTGGGGATGCCAGCATGATAAAGGTCTGTTGAGAATTGGTACTGAAAGCTAAATTGGCTAGTTCTGGTACTGGTATAATGAAATGAGAGTGCGGACTAGTCCTTTAGTCTGCCTTGGTTTGAAAATAGCTGTAATTCCATAAAGAGATGTTTTGATCTTGGAGATAGTTTTGTTTTCTTTTCTTCCTATGGCTCTCAGACTTTGATTTTTATTTTTTGTTTTTTATTTCTTTATTTTTTAATACAAGTGTGGCTGCTGTTGGACATGTTGGTAGAAGCATTGAGCAGTTCAAACCCCTACTATTTTTTGTTTGCAAGGTTTGTCAGATCTCAAAGTCACGTGGTAATAACTATTTATATGACGGCCATTCATGCATGATGTGATGTTATGTTGTTGTCTAAATATTATCTTAATTTCTGGTTATCAAAAGAAAAAAAATCTCTATTGCCAATCTGCTTGATATATGCAGTATTTGTAAAAATCCTCCTCCTATTTTTCTGCTTACAGTATCCTTAAGGACTTCAATGCCTGCAAATGTCAGAGTATTAAGTGTAAAGGAGAACCTCAGCCATCCTCCTACAGTAGAGAGCTTGGTATATCGAACTGGAGGGTTACATATGCTCCATATCCTGAGAATATCTGTTGGTAAGCTGCCTGCCTGCCATTTACTGATGGTGAAGTACGTTTAGAATGGGGACAGAACAAGAGGCCTTAGTGCGTTTTCTTTAACCCTGTGTCTTTGCATAGTGCTTGGATTTGGGAGATGTGCATCTTTTTTTCCATTACCGCTGTTCTCCAGTGATTTCGAGGAGGTCTCAGAGGCCGTTTTACTGCCCCAAACTTCTGGGATCTGCAGTTCCTATTAATTATTCCTTTTAATTATTTCTTTTTTTTTGTTTTAGGTTAGGTACATATACACACACACACACACACAAATATGTATGTACATATATAGGTACATATTTTAACCTACATAATATATGTATTAACCAAATATTATATGTAGGTTACTACATACCTACTGTTGAGATCTGAGGTTAGCAACTTGTTGTTAGTGCTGAGTATTCTGAAAACAGTTATATTTTTTGAGTTGCCACATGATACTTCAGTTTATCACAAAGTCTTATACAAGTTAAGGTCTATCTTCAAAAACTTTGTTACTGAACCAGTAAATTTCCTACCACTGGTGGGAGACTGTCTGAAAATAGGTAAATGGTTTTTTTCAAACAAGCTCTTCCTGTGCTGCCTCTGTCATGTTTATAGGCTAAAAAAATACTGAATTTGCTTTGCAAATAACTTAAGGTTAGATCAATATGATCCATGTTTATGTAATAATTTTTGATGACATGTCTTTTACCCAACACAAAATTACAAGTGAGACACAAGCACACACACGTTTACTGTATTTCATTGGTATCTAACATACTTTAAAAAAGAGTAAGTTTCCTTCTTTTATAATGCCTTTAAAAGAAAAGTGCTTTTAATATGACTGTGGCATCTAGCTCTAATAATTGTGGAATTTGTTCACAGCTGCAGAACTGCAGTTCTAGAGAAGAGTACAGATTCTTAACTGCAAAGCAAACATCCATGTTTCTTAGCTGTGCTTTTCCAGCTGTGGTGTTTTGAAATGTGAATCAAGAATCTCTTGCAAACTTCTTTTGAAGTAGGATCAGTTAAATCTGCCTTTTTCATGAGAGGCTTCTCAGATGGGCGTTTCCTTTGCTCTTCCCTCCTCCTCCAAGCCCTGTCCTAGGGACGTAAAAAGTTAGCCATGTGCCGCGGCGGGTTGAAGTATTTGCAAAGCATTTCCGAATGTCCCTGCAGATTGTTCTTGAAGAAAGAGGCTCGCCAAGAGAGTTGCTGATGGGGGGACTATATTGAGCCCTCCCTTCCCTCTTTGGACTGTTCTAAGTGGTTGGCTTTGGCCAGGGTTCAATTTATTCCAATCCTTTTGGAAACCTCTTCGGATAATGTTCAAGAACTGTACTGCTGCTCAAGATCCGTGGTTGCTATTTTAAGATGGGAGGAAGGAATTGGTGCTTTTTTTTTTTTTTTTTTTTTTTATAAACACTTTCTTGGTAGATTCCACCTCTGGTAGCCAGTCTCCCTACAAAAAATGTTCATGTCCTTTCAATCTCTTCTCATTCCAATTTCCAGTGCTCAGTACTTCTGTACTACTGTATTATTAAATAATGAAAGTGTTGAATATTGCATTTTGAAGTGTTAAGAAAGACTAATATGTTCTTCTGAAAGTACAACTTATGCTATCCTTCAGGAAAGGTGGCACTGTTTTCTTTATTTCTATGAGCAACTAGATCGTTTTTAGAGCTTTGTTACGTAACTTAAAAAATATGAAAAACAAATTTAGAAAAAGCTGTGCCACCTGCCACTTGACAGAATGTATCCTTTTTTTTCACCAGCAAGATGTTTACTGCTTGTTTTATGTCCTTTTGTTTGGCAGGAATAATCTTTCCGTGTGTGGGCTGAAATGGTGGTTTAGATGGTTTTGCATTAATTTGCTGCTTTTTATCGTGCTGTTTTTTCTCACTACTCCTTCCATAATCATCTCAACCATGGACAAGTTCAATGTCACTAAACCTATTCGTTACCTTAATGTGAGTATCGCCATATGTTTGTATGTAGCTATATATTAGCACTAAAGTATTGATGAACGGATGGGTATATAGTACAAAAATGAAACTGTAATCATAAACTAAATTCAGATGCTGTTCTCAGAAGTGCTTTGTGGCTCAGTGGAGCCTACAGATTAAAAAAAATGTACATCCCTTGGTTCTCTGTTATTCCTTAGCACCAAGTAAGTTGATCTGAAACTTTCTATCATTATAAATGTTACATTTATTTGTGATAAAAAATATATATTCCAATTTTATGTTCAATGCCTTTTGAGGCAAAGGTAAATTACTGAAATTTACCTTTGCTAAAATTGGAATCCTGAGTTCAAATTGCATTCAGAGAAGGGAAGAGCTCATTTTAAGCACTGAAGTGAAATGCCATGGTCTTATTTTGCTTATTGCATTCAAAACCAGGATGGCAGGATCCAATTCAACTGCAAACTGTTTATTTTAGGTCTTTTTCTTTTTCTTTTTCTTTTTTTTCTTTTTTTTTTCCTCCTAAGCTGGTGGCAACTACCTTAAAAAAACGCCTGGAGGCTTTACTCTCATGGAATTTAATTTCCAGTCCTACTTCTGTCTTTTGTCTGAAAAACCAGAAAACTCCCTTCTTAAGTCTGCACCTGAATATGATTTTCACAGTCCAATCTGCTGTGATTTACAAAGAAGAAATTCTTAGGGTCCCTCTTCTTCCACCACAACCACATTAAATATTTTTAACGCTATCATTTTTGTTTTGTTCTGTTTCCTCGCTAGAATCCCATCGTCAGTCAGTTTTTCCCAACACTCTTGCTGTGGTCCTTCTCGGCTTTGCTACCAACAATTGTGTATTATTCAACTCTGCTGGAGTCCCACTGGACAAAGTAAGCAAGAATTTCCTCTACTTTGCTCTTGCCTCATCAGCTGAACTGCCATAATACATGGAGCCATGCTTAGTTTTCATGGAGCTCTTAAGTCCACAGACCCTTCCTACCAGACTGGTTTTCCTCCCATTTTAGTGTTATAACCAATATTCTAGAGCTTAAGTCACTTATAGTCAGTACAGCAAATGTCATCTAACCATGATTTGCTTATGTTCCCCCGTGTTTTGTGTTTAAAATTTAATCAAACCCATAAGTGTATAAGCAGAGGCTATAAGGAGGCCCAGTGTGCACAAGCCCCTGCCCCCAGGGGAGCACTGTCCTTCAGGGCCTCTTAGCGGCTCAGCGGCCCGGAACTCCCGGATCCTGCTTCAATAGGAGTGCACCAGCTGGTGGGCTGCTGCCCACAAAGAGGGCATCTGTCCTCTTGTTGCTGGAGCTAGAGAAGTGCTCTGTGTGTGACTCCTGGTGCACAGTATGCTGCTGCAGGCTGCTGCGTACTGTGGCCTGAGAAGAGCTGTGTGACCAAGGCCAAGCAGATCTGTCCAAATGTGATTTTGAGGTATGGCCAGAGCAGCGCAGCGACGCAGAGCAGTGACACAGAGCACGGAGCTGTGCTGTAACCAGGGAACTCTCGGCAGAGCCCACTTTGACACTCTGGATTTGGTCATAAGCTTCTTACCTGGAGCCAGATAAACACGTAATACTGATCACTTAGCCTTTTCCATAATGCCTGCAGTTATTGCCTCCTTATTGTTTTAATCTAAATGCGGATCTGTTTTATTGTGCCATTTCCTTGTAAGCCTTCATGTCTAAAGCTCTGTGGGTTTTTTTTGGTTGCTCTTCTCAACTACGTTAAATACATAAGCTTTGAGTCCTTTTGTATTGGTCGAAACAATTCTCTAGAGTCTCTAGCTATCACAGCTCTGATTTCATACACCACTACTTGGTATAGCTCTGCTAACTGGCAAGCGCCCAAGGGCTGCGTCATCCTGTAATAAAACCTCTGTGGTTTTAATGCCCTACAAGGCACCTCCTTTAGCCATGTGTTTTGTTTACGGCAGTCGCTGTCCTTCTGCAGCAGTGACGCCTCCGTACCCAGCTGTTCCTGCTGCTGTACCAGGGGCGCTGGCACTAGCAGCGTTACGCTGTTCCCAGAGACGTGGGGCTTGTGCTGGTAGTCAGGTAGTTTGTGCGAGGGGAGAGTTTCTTGGTACTGGTGCCCTCACAAGAACTGCCACTGCCCTCTTGGCCTCACATTTTATAGCTATTTGTAAACAAAATAATTGAGAAATCAATGGATCAGAGAACTGCTGCGATTTGTTCCCACATCTCTTTGCCAGAGGTGCAGCAAAAGAGTATTGATAATATTGCTAATCCAGAGTCAATATTAATGTTCAGAAATGCTTTCTGTGTCCAAGATAAGGCCGAGGGCCTGCTTGGTCGAAAATAATAAACACCTTGGAGGTGTTTGTTTTGTGAGTATCACGCAGCAACATGATGTTTTAGGGAAATGTCACAGGTGCTGACATTCCATTGACAAAACTTTCCGGGTCTGGAAATCTTCATAGGCATTTCTCACACAGTCACTCTTTATGTTGCTAGATCTGGAGAAAACAGAATTATGATGCATAAAGTCTACATTTTTTTGATCTTCATGGTGTTGATTCTGCCCTCCCTTGGTCTGACCAGGTAAAGAATCATAGTTCAATATATTAATATTTGAATGTTTTCATAATTTGAGATATTTTCCTTTAGTTTCTAGTTGCTAGTTGATGTATAGTTGATCTGTCTCCACCCCCCTGCAGTATGTACAGTTATTGACATTACACATTAGATTTCAAAGTTGTGGTTTCTCTGAGGACCTTACAGCCTTTAAAGAGTTAAGTCCAGCATTTCTTGTAGCAAAGGAATCTAAGATATTATAAGATTAATGGCAAAATAGTTGAAAGTCTCCTGTGCTTTCTGTCATGGCTGAGAATCCAGCCTTCTGAGTGCCCCTTGCTTTAGTTCTAGCTCCTTCTCCTTCTTTTCCTTTTCCTTCTCTGGCGCCTTAGCACCTGTGCAGCAGCTGTTGTGCTGTTTCACTGGCTAATGTGTCTTCTTTCTATGTGCTCTCTATTAAAAATGAAATGTTAAAACTTTAATGTAAAGCAGATGTTTCTGTTTGGTTTCCATATCACTTTCCTAATTCTGACTATCACCAACCATGGTGGGTCTAACATTACAGATTATTTGATTAAACTCCTTATATCCATCATTCTAATCTGAACTACTACAAGAGAAACTACTTTATTTGTATACAGTACTAAGCTGTTGGGGACTAAATTACATTTATTATTATTTTTTCAGCCTTGATTTCTTTTTCCGTTGGCTGTTTGACAGAGAATCATCTGAATCTAAAGTCAGGCTGGAGTAAGTATGAGCAACTCTTTGTTACAGGATTGTTCAGTTTTTTTTTTTTTTTCTTTTTTGGCTGTTGACTAACTTAATATTTATGAAAATCTGCTTGGAGAAGTTTCTGAGTAAGGGGAGAAGAATGCAGACACTTTTGCTCTGAATTTCCATACATTTTTCTGCCAAATGCTGTGTACAAGCACTCAGTAAGGAGGTGGTTCTGTTCCTAGAACCTTACAAGTCACAGAATCACAGAATGGTTAAGTTGGAAGGGACCTCTAGAGATTATCTAGTCCAAGGCGTGTAGAAGATAAGAGTGTTCAGGTACAGTGCAGGTGAGAGGAAACTACACGGTGTATTGAGGGTTGTTGCGTATCATTGGCAGTAGATTCTCCCAAGGATACAGTGAGGTCAAGCACTGTTTCAAAAACATGCTGACTTGTTTTCAAGAAATGTGAATGTTTTTACCCCAAGATTGCAGACTTGCAGATACCGATTATTACAAGCTCTTGATTAGGAGCTGGACACAGAGGCTACTTAGGTGGCTGGGCAGAAGGAATTAGGGTGTAATTATTAGCACATAATTAGGTCTCTAGATAGTGTACTGAAAGTCAGTAGCAATAAGATATTTAGGATTTACTGAGTTAGGAGAGACCACCATCCTGCTGCAGTCTTGTTTCATCTAGTCTCAAGTTGTTGTTGCAGACATCAAGTGATGTTCTCATTTGCTATCAGCCATCCATCAAAATCGGCTTTTTTTCTTGCTGAGCAGTTTATTCCTTCTGCAAGCTCTGTGCTTCAGCCAGGCTTTTTAGGGGCTCACTGGCAATGGCATCATAAAAATGTGCCCTTACGGTATAGCACACTTACAGCACTCAAAGCTACATTACACTTTTTAATTAAAGATTGTCAGAAGTCCTCTGGCCACTTCTAATCATGTCCAGTGATTATCTTTAGGGAGAGATGCTTCCAGAAGTGATAGGGGTTTGTTGTCCAAATGCCCTCTCTGCCTGCTGGCCTGCTTTCCAGTTACTCTCTGATGTCTTTCCTTGTAGATGTGTCTTTTTGCCTGACCAGGGAGCCTTCTTTGTGAACTATGTCATTGCCTCTGCTTTCATTGGCAACGGGATGGAGCTGCTGCGCCTGCCTGGCCTCATCCTTTACACCATACGCATGATAATGGCCAAGTCCACAGCAGAAAGGAAAAATATCAAACAGGTATTAGGGCCCCTGCGTAGCAGGGAGCAATTAAATGTCTGGTGTTGGTCAGAAACAGTGGGAGCCCCCGTTTCTGTATTAGCTGTCAACTCCTGTCACTTTTTTGGTCTTTATTTTGCTCAGCCATAAAAACCTTGGATGCCCTTCCTTTGCAGCTTAGAAAGCTGGGAGGTGTTTATTCACATCAGAGATGGTCACAAATAAAAATCTGAGCTCTGAATTTCAGACATTATTCTCTTCATAGCTCCAAGTGAGAGTTTTATGGTGACCTTTGAAATATAATACACTTCTAAACTTTTTTTTTTTTTAAGTTTGGGTCTGTACATAGTTGGAGCTATTTCTGTTGGCCCACAGGTGTGTACAAACTTGCAGGCATGTGAGTGCATACCTTAATCTGAACATACACAGAGCAGAATAAGCATGTGTCCATCTACATCCCACTTTTAGAACTGGTGCCTTTTTGCAGCCTGAAATTCAAGATACTAGAATTTAAGTTAAACCTGTATAGAACTACCCTCATTCTTTTCTTTAGCAGACCTAAATGGTGAGTTCCATTTTTAATAATATGTTTTGAACAGTTACTTCTGTTAACTGTTGCATATTGCCCTTGCTGTGGTAGAAATGAAATAGTACAAAAACATTTTGTATTGTTTTCGCATCCCAAGAGGTTCAGCTAGGAATTAAAAAAAATGGGGATACTGATCACCCCAAAGCTTTGCTATCTTGAGCCACGGTGAAAGGCAGCACAGGGAGCAGGGACTCGGTGGTGTTTGTAGTCAGCTCAAGGTTCTAAGAGTTGAGCGTTATTTTTTTATGCCTTATGGTTTTAAATGGCTTCTTGTAGATGAAAGCAGATTCCTTGAGAAATTCCTTTGAGATTATGAAAGAAGTAGCATATTTTCTGCAAGTGTCACTGTTCAAAACGCATGATACTTGCCTCTGTCTAATTGCATTGTTCATGCCTCTCAGGAAAATAACTGATCTCTCACAGTAACAAAATAAGAGAGGGTGAACTGTTGCTTTGCTGAATCCAGCTTAGTTGCTGATGTGCTGATAGATGAAATGAGAGTCAGGGTGTCTTGTTTTTGTTCACAGCAACAAGCATTTGAATATGAATTTGGAGCAATGTACGCCTGGATGTTATGTGTGTTCACTGTCATCATGGCCTACAGCATCACCTGCCCCATCATTGTGCCGTTCGGTAAGGTCTGTGGGGGGATGGAACCGGCGCGCGTGGGAGTTCTGGAGGGTCCAGTTCCGGTTCCTCGTCCGGTTTGGATGGCTCTGATGCAAGAGTAGTTTTCTTCCCTTCTCATAAAAAGCAGGACAGAAGGTGATGAATAACTTTGTCCTTGTACCACCTTGTACTACAGTTGAACGTGATATATTTAATACCAATTTTATTTCTAAAGATTAGGCACATTTGGAAAAAAAATTCCCAAAGGATTGACTGAAATGTGTAAAATGAAGCACAAAAACAAGTATATTTGAGACTGGACCCGATCTCTCCTTGACCCTGCCACAACTCTCCTGTGTTACTAACCATTGATCTAAAGACCCGAATGGGATGAGAGAAGGGGCTTTGTCCGTCCCTGTGCTTTGCACAGTTGTACATTCTGTGGTCCTGGCCCCAGGGATGCGGCCTAATGATGTCCTGAGCGCTCGTTGGGACGGACCTTTACGGGCGCTGCTCCTGATCTCCTTACCCAGGGGCCCAGGCAGGCGCTGGGCTGGGAGTGCAGGGCGTGCTGAGGGAGTCCAGCTACTGCAGACATTTCCCCTCTGGAAACCCGTTTGTCAGGCATAACTCATTCTAAATCATATGATATATTAGATATATTTCCTTTCTAATTGAAAATGTAGAGAGCTAGAAACAACGTAAATACCTTAATTAGATATTGGCCAGAATTCATTTTTAATCAACAACCTTATTATAGGAAAAATGTGGTCAGATTTTTGTAACATACTTCATATCTGTTTATATTTAGTTTTCTTCCTGAAAGCAGAAAGTCATGAATAATTATGCATGCATGATATTCTTTTTTTACAAATGTGTTGCATGCTATAGACGATGTAACAGTTCTGCAAAAAGAAACAAGTATTGAAATGTACTGCTGTTAGGCCAAATCCAGCAGTGAAATGGTGCAAAATATTATTGTTGAGATGGCAAAGCATGTTCGTTACTCAGAAAAACTCAACTGTTTCCTTCGCTGACATTAATGGAGATGAACTTACCGTTCCTCTTAAGCCACATAATCCATAACATATTTTAGTATGCTAAGTGAATAACAGAAGCTTAGAAAACCATGCAGAATTCACTAGCCAAAAGCTCTTAGAAGGACAGATTGACAAATTTGCGATTAGTGCAAGAGAAGCACATCCATACGGAATGTATCCGCATCACAGGCTGTGAAATAAACCTCACCTTGTGTAGGTAACACTGCAGCAACGCAGCCTATTTGCACGGAAGTAGGAAAAGAGCGTTCTGCATATGTGGCTGCAAATATCTGAATGTTCTGCTGCTTACCAGAGCTTTCCAGCACGGGCAAGTCCTCCCTTCCGCCCGCCACCACGTTCCGGTGCTGGGGGAGTTGGGGTCTGTCCCGGGAGTGCCAAGGGTGCCAGGGCTGCAGTGGAGATGCTTGAAGAGAGGGGGATACACGGGGGCTTGGGGACCCAGCCCCGCCACATGAGCGTCCTTGCAGCAGATCTCTGTTCCCCACTCGGATCTGGGCTGCACCTGGTTTGTGTGGATCTCCTTGCAGAGCTGTTACTTTTTACTGTCCTTGGCTCTCCCTTGCCTACTTCCAGGCTTAATATATATCCTCCTGAAGCACATGGTCGACCGGCACAATCTTTACTACGCGTATCTCCCGGCTAAGCTGGAGAAGAAGATCCACTTTGCAGCTGTGAATCAGGCCCTGGCAGCTCCAATCCTCTGCCTGTTCTGGCTCTACTTTTTCTCATTTTTGCGGCTAGGTAAGTATTATATTTTCCCTGAGAAGCTACTCCTACCTCTCTTGTCAGCTTATGTAGAATTACACAGAAAGTCTCATAGATTCTGCAGTCTTTAAAGCTTGTCTTTTTGCCTCTGCAAACAGGAAGTAATGTTGCTTATGTCTGACACACATGAGCTTCAAGCCCTTTACATGGAGTTTCATATTCCTTCACTTTATAGGAGATCATGCATTAGTTTGGCTACCTAGTGACAGACAGTAAAAGTCCATACATTAAAATAAAAATCGGTTCCCATGTAGCTGCTTCTAATAAGATGGGTTCTGATTTCACTGCATGCATTTGTATTCCCTATGCACGAGTTTAATTTGCCTCTGTGAGCTGACTGCTGTCTCTGTTGCACAGCTCTCAGTTAGGAAAGAATTAAAATGTTGGATAGTAATAGCCAGACCCCTGTTTCATGTGAGGTGCTAAACACTGCATGGAAGAAAATGCAGAGAGATGGTGCCTCTCCTCCCCAGATTCTAATTTAAAATCCCATGTTCTGTATTTAATTCATTCTGCAAGTTGTTCTGTGTTCTGCAGACACCTGACGTGGGTAGCATCTGCAGTGGTAGAGAAATGGCTCTGGAGAGGGTGGCAGTGGCCATGGCTTCTTTACCTGTGGCGCAGGAGAAAGCATTTGCTCGTGAGCTTGCATCTTCCCTTGTTCTGAGGGCTGTCTTTGCAACCCGGAGGATAACCAGTCCATGTCCTCCGAAAGTAAGGGCAGAGTTTCTAGAGCATGTTTAAAAAAAATAAATTGCAGTTGCAGTAGTTGATATGACTCCTTAATTTAATATAAAGGAAATGTTAGTGCAGTAAAAATTTAATCTGCATAATAATGTTTCTTGTTCTGCATCTACAGCAAGATCATCATTCATCACAGAACTTAGTAATGGAAAATGCAGATTGGATGATGGTGTTTGAGTTGGGGCCAGCATGCAGTTATTTTTTATAGGATATTTTTCAGTGTTTTGTCAGTGCAAAAGGCAGTCTAGGCAAGAGGTGCGAGTTGAGAGGTTAGAGCTTAAGGTTCTGGTTTCATTGCTGATTCTTGCCCAAAGGAGAGGGAGGAGACCTCTGCTTTCTTATTTGCAAAATAAATCCATTGATGATGTGTAAGGCTTGACTGTTTAATCATCAATTTGCCTTGTACAGTTTATCGTACTTCAGGCTAGTTACAGTACAGTGATAGCACCCTGTTTTCTCACTGCAGAATTGTAAGACTGGAAGGACCTTGAGATCATTTAGTCTATCCCCGGTCTGAGTCGAGATCAAATAGCAGTTGAGTGTCTGCAGAAGGTGCTTATCTTGGATCGCAGGCTGCACTGGTGCCATCTATTTCTTTCAGTCTCTGTTTTCTTCCTCAGTTCCCACGCTATCTGTTCCTCAGATACTTTGCCTCTCAACAGGGGAGGCCATGCTACTATATGCTGAGGAGGCAAGGCAGGGGAAACCGATTCTGGGGAGATTTCTTTGTTTTTCCACTGTTCCCTTACCCTCCTTGTCCTTCACACTACCCGTTGGTGCAGACATGCCTCAAAACTGGGAAATTCTGCTCTAACCTAGTCGTGTAAAAACAACTTTTGCTAAAGGAGGTTCCAGAATGTACACAGGGCGTTTGTTTCATTTCTCTTTTTGCTTTGAACAGTGACTTGTTTTTTTCTTTTTTTGTTGTGTGTGGTTCTCCCTGCCATGCGTACACACACACAGTGATCCACACCGGGTTCACATAACCATGCTGAACAGTGAATCTTGTCTGTCCTAGGTCACTACATCTACTGGGGTTACCACAAGAAAATTTGAGGGTTAATATTGTCTCTTTTAGCCAAAAAAAAAAAGTTTGGAAAAGGCCCCTAATGTTTTGAGTCATCTTTGCTGTAAAATGAGATTAATTTCTTCATATTATTTCCCCAGTGGAAATGGAAAATCACTGTCATTGTTAACAGCCTTTTTTCATATTAGAGGCTGTTTCTATGACCTTCCCTAGGATGAGCACTCTCTCTGTCTTTCTCTCTTTTTCTTCAAACAAGAAAAACTTACCTGAGATCTTAGTTCATGTTTCTGCAGTTTCTTTTCTTTCTTCCTTCTCCTTGGATTCTTCCCAGTTATCTCTGTTTTCATAGTGGTGGTCTAAGCAGCCTGGCTGCTCAAATTGAGGCACCAAAAAGAACTGCTCTTTTTATCTAGGTACCAGAGGCTTGTGTTTCCCTTGGGTTTTCCTCCACTGCTTTGTGGTAGCATCACATCACTGGCTCATGACCCTGCCCATTCCATCTCACAGGTCATTAATGAAAGTGTTTGAGAACTAAGTCCAGAGTAAATGACTGAGGCGGGAGGAGGAGAAGGGTGTCTGAATGTTGTTTGTTACTCAAATTTTGCAGCCTTTTTCTTTTGCCTTTTCTGGCCTCTCAGCAAGCTGTGTGATGAGCTTGTTCAGCTGTTTGGTCCTTCAGTGAGCTTTGCCCATAACCAGGCCCTCCTGATCGGGGCTGGCCAGTCCTCTAAGGAAAAACATGAGGCTTCTGCAAATGGGGAGTAAAGTAAGGGTTTGCTTGTTTTCCCTGCTACGTGCTTTCATATTGTGTTCTCCGGATATTTTTCTAGGATTCAGAGCACCCACAACCATGTTCACCTGCCTGGTTGTCAGCATCACCATTTTTATTTGCTTGGCTTATACCTGTTTTGGCTGCTTCAAGTACCTGAGCCCCTTGAACTACAAGGTAGGTGGTGCACCCCTAGCAGCTCCTGGCGCGTGGCTGCATGGCACCAGCTCTCCCTGCACGGGGCTTTTCGCCTTGCCAGGGCAAGGCCCATCCGGGTTCTTTCTAGTAAGGCTGAAGAGGGCTGGTTGGTGGAGACAGCTTGCTCAGCACACTAGGAGTGTGCCAGTGCCAGCAGGGACTAGAAGGGTAAAAAGCAGTATGGAAGTATGGAAGAAGAGATGGGAGGCAAGTTTGTTGTGGCCATACAGTAGAGCTAGCACTAATCCCACCAACTGTGAGTTTCCAGGTGCTTTCCGTCTGTTCTGCATTGCTTTGATTTAGCCTTGATAGTGTCTCTCTCCCATTCTCCCACTTGTTCCTGTCTGCAGATAGAAGACTTGCAAGGAGAAAGAGGAAACGACTCAGATGTACGAGCCTTCCCAGCACCTTCCGTAAGAAGTTAACACCATTAATAATACTGTCTTTCCAGAAAACCTCATTTCCCACCCCGCTCACCAAAGACCTTGGGTGGAAAATACTAGCGTTGATGAGCTGTGAGACCTTGCACAGGCTGGAGGTCAGGAGTCCCGCGGTGGCCCTGCCAGCTCCTCCAGCTGGTGCTGCAGCAGCCCCGGCGTGGGTGGCTCAGCGCTGCGATGCTGCAGCGGGTCTGGGGGTAGGTGCCCCTGCAGGTGGGGTTTGCGCTAGGAAGCCTCCCTTAGGGTGCAAAAGACTTTGGGGGTGAAGATGAAGAACAGGTTTTCCCCTTGCCACTCTTCTTTCCATCCGTTTTCTACCTGGGTAACTTATCCCAACGTGGCACTTTGAGTAAAATCCTTAACACTTGTGATTTCAGAAATATGTCCCCCGAGTCTTGCATCCGCAGTCTACGGAAAGGACGGCCCTGACCCACAGAGAGCAGCACTCCTATGGCACCATGGAGGACACTCTGTCCCAGACAGAAGAAGACAGAAGCTTCTCTGCAGGACCTGCAAGTACTGAGCAGTCGTCAAAGGGTTCCCTCTGAATACCCAGGGCTAGCACGAGGTGGAGCACTTGGTCCAGCTTTACAAGAACTCATTTCCCCACCACCACCCCCTGAGCATTCGGATTTATTTACACATTCCTGCCTACAGAAAAGATAGAGGAGTAATTCACTGTGTGGTCTGCAGCTGTGCCGGGAGATTGAAAAGCAGCCGCCTCGGAATTGGCTGTTTTGTGGGACGTGTCCGTGCGCTGCGACACGAGCGCCGAGCGCTGCGGTCCTCAGGAGCTCCCCTGCTGCTGTCCCTTCCTTTTGCCTTAGCAAGATGATGATGCTGCGTATGGATAGCAGGGAGCCGAGGTAGATGCAGCTCCTGGACACAGCTGCCATTTATTTATTCAAAGTAACACTCTTGGAATTTTTAGCAAATACTGAGTACTTATAAACTGCTCGGAATGTATTACATCCTGAGCCAGTGTCACTTTTGATGTAATTATGTGCCCTCCCAGTGGGAGACAGGGAGGGTATTGGGGGTGTCTCCTTGGTGGTTGCCCAAAGTAGTCGGTGCAGAGATGAGCACTTTTGTTTGAAAAACATGAGGGAGTTACTGTGCACTTGGGTATTAAAAGTACTAAGCAAAAAGACTGGTGTAAAGAAGGGATTGATTGACCTGCTACTGTTTTTACATATTCTTGGAGGGCATTCAGGTTGTTATTTCAGTTCACCATTTTTAAGGGCCTTTCGCAAGGAAGGTTCACTTGCCAGCAATAAAGCATGTAAACATTTTAACTTTTTAATCTTGGGTCAAAATGACAGATCTCTGGGTTTTTGCAGTAAGTGCCAATTACACAAGCTATAAGATATTAAGTTTTTAAATTATGTAGTAGCTGCCAATTTATTCCTAAGTACAGTATGTCAAAACAGCAACTAATAATCACAAAACAATAAAACACTTGAGTTTGGAGAAATTTAAGGCTGTCTTGATTAATTCCTTGCTTGTGTATTTAAGCACGCCTGTGCTCATGCCATGAAGCAGCGAGCAGTTTCATGAGCTGCTCCTAAGAGCACCATCACAGAGGCTCCCGTAACACTTGAATACTCTTAAATTTGTCAAGGGGATGAGTCTTGTTGATTTTTGGGTAGCAGAGGGTTTTGCCCTTGCTGTCTCTTTGCCTGCTCACTGTAAAAGAGGGAGCTTCATCACCAGCCTGTTTGAGAAGCAGCTTCTTAAGAGTGGGGTCACTAGTGCCACTGATGAGGGTGTGCAGATGTTCAGTGTCTTGCAGGGCTGTCTCTGGCACCCTGCGCACCGCCTTCTGCATGGGCATAGATAACATCAAGGGAGGAGACCTGCCCCGACACGCGACGGCCCCTGCAGAGCTCCGATACGCATGACGACAGGACCCTCCTTTTAGCTGGGGGTAGGTGAGACTCCTGGCTCCTCAGAGATAAGAGGGACGTCCGGTCTGCTCTAGCAGGGCATGGGTGGTTGTTGCAGGTCAGCAGGTCTCACAGTACCGTGACCGTAGTATCCTTAGCGGTGGTGTGTGCTGCCTTGGAATCCAAATGGCTATTTCAGCTGGGGCTCTAGGCAAAATTAATCATGGTGGGCTCTGTTTGCCGCTCTCAGAGTTTGCAGGGCTGTGAGATGAGGAGACGGAGCCTCCTTCCTTATTAACTAGATCAGAAATATGTGGCTGCTGTAACTCGCTCTATGCCGCAGGGCCCCGTCTTGTGCAGGCATCTGCGGGATCGGCGCCCACCTCCTGCTGTGCTAACTGAGGAAGCAAATAAATGAGTCAGCTTGCCCTGGTTACACTGCTGCCACTGAGGGGTTTTAAGCTTTGTGACATAAGTTACTTTTTTGAGCAAGTGGCTGCTACGAGATTCACATGTCACGTCAAGGACAAAGTGTTTGGTTAGTGGATTTCCGTCCTGCGCTTGTCTGCTTGGTGCTTGGGAGGCTGCTGAGCCTTGGTAACAGCTCCTGATTGCTGGCATAAACTCAGGATAGACAGCAGCACTGAACTTGAATAAACCTACCTCGAGACATGCTCATGTGCCTCAGATAGCAGAATATGGAAAACCCATTAGGTAATGGAAAGTTGTATCTGGCTAAACAGGCCTTGCTGGCGTTTGTAGAGGCCATTAACATGTCTGATGTGGAAACCACCTGCGTATTTCACCTAGCGTGCAGCAGCAGCTCTCGTACCCCACTGGGCTCTGCTGGAAGTGAACTACCCACCCCCCAGTAGTTAAAATGTTGGGTCAAGAACTGGTGTAGTCGCACCATGGTTGGGTAAAGGCTGGGATCATCAGATAGTAAATGAGCACAAGAGCTCTGGGTCTAGCAACACGCAAAGTAAAGGCTGCTCTCCGCCTCGCTCTTTTGTGCCTGCTTCCCTAGTACCCTTGGGTCTCCTCGGCTCAGAGCTGGAAGTAATTAAGAAACTGCACTGGCTCTGGTTCATTCTTTCATGCTGGTGGATGTCTCCGA